GGGGGGGTAATTAAAACGAAATTTAGTTTAGGTGTACACTGTATAAAAAGCTTCAAGTTCAGGGGGGTAATGAGTATTTCTGCCTATAAAATAACCTGTTTATGAATAGTTGGAAAAGAAAATTAGTTCCATATCACATCAACATTGTTGATTTGCTAATTCTTTTGTGCCTATTTAACATGCTAGCTAGCCTAGGGATTTAAGGTTTCAACTTTACTATAATTGAATGTGAACCCAAAAAAATCAAAGTAGAGTTTTCCACAAAGTTGCACTATTAAAAAAAAAGTGTGAGTAATCTCATTAAGCACTTTAAGGACCTTTTTCTTTTTTAACACTGGGCCATAGCATGACACAATCACTTCCAATTAACAAAGAAAAAAAAGTGGTTTTGTCTATTCATGATGATGTGGAAGGTTGTAGAGTGCTTCAATACTTTGGGAAAAAGTGACCAAAATATTTGGAAGACTATAGTACAACAAAGAAAATTCAAAAAACTAACCATTTAAATAACTAAGGGGTCGTTTAGTAGCTGGTTTAGAGGTGAATTATGCGAGTATTGAATCTTGTATAAGTAATATCACGTTTGGTAGTTAATTCGAAGATAAATTATTTACATATAAAATAAATATTGTGTTTTATTTGTTATTTAAAAACCTACATAACTGATATACATATCTAAGTTATGAGAGAATCTATGTACTATTTTATGTATGATACAAAGTGGAATAGCTAATCCATGCATAACATAATACATATATTTCCTCATAACTAATCTCAACATTATTAATACCTCTATAATTCTTATCCTCTACCAAACAACTCCTAGGGGATAATATTTGTGCACACCTTCAATTTACACCAAATCAAATAAATTCACTTTGTGAGTCATAAATGGAAGGGAAAAATACTTATTCAACATGATGTTTACCTTAAATCATATAAATTTATTAAAATAGAACAATTTAATAAACAGAAGCGTTTTCAGAATTTTGAAAGGATGTGTGCACTATTACGAAAAGATGCATTTTGATCGGTTTAATCTTTACGTTCTTAACATTGAACCATTAAATTTTAAAAATTATGGGTGCAACATATATAAGACTACTAGTTTTAAATTTTAATATACACATTTGATTTAATTATATAAAAAATTTACCGTGCTAATTTCTTTTAGGAATTTTCAATGTTACACACTTGAAATTTTTGAAAGATTAAAGCAAAAAAATAAAAGAAAAATTGATTGAAACGCCAAAAGTGTTTGGAGGGGTGTCACTAACAAAAATAAGATAGATATAAGATTTAAATTTCTATCTTTGCTTAGAGAGGTGCACCCAATTAATCATCATCGTATTATTATATGCTACTTTTAACGTGGATTTCCACCTCTATATTTATATATATTTTAAAAAATATAACATTACTATATATAATCTAGAGAGGAGAGCATAGGTTCACGTGAACCCACAAAACCCCCTCTAGATACGCCTCTATTAATAAAGTGAGATATATATGTTAATTAATCACAATTAAATGCAAAAAAAATATGTGTTTGAGAGGGAAGTATAGGTTCACGTGAACCCACAAAACCCCCTCTAGATATGCCTCTATTAATAAAGTTAGAATATATGTTAATTAATCACAATTAAATGCAAAAAAAATAAAATGTATAAACACATTGTGATATATCTATTGACTATTTGGCTTGGTGTTTTACACAGGATGCAGGTACAAGTTTACCAAATTAAAGTGAGAATATATATCAATTTTTTTGATGACCCTTAAATGATGACCATTTATACATAAAAATACATATTTTGCATTCTCTACCTCACCTTTGAGGTAGAAGTGAGATCTGCATACATCTATCTTTCTCATATCCTACTTTATAAAATTATACTGAATATATTATTATTGTATTGATTTAATATAACTATCGAGTGCGACTAAAGTTGTAACTGTCACTTGTGCTTTGCTTAAGTAGGATATAACTGTTTCCAAGGTGTGAACTGAATTCTAGTTTTTTTTTTTGTGTGTGGGGTCATTGTTGTGGAATTTTTGGTAGCTTCAGACAAGTTACAATTCTTTCGGTGTTCATATTTTTGTACTGTTGGATTCTCCATAGCCTATAAAAGCCTATTCACAATCCTTTGTTATTACTCTACACAACTTCTCTTCTTCTTTAAACTAAAAATATCTCTATTCTGGTTATCTTGTTCGTACACATCTTCTCTTTGTTTTCCGGAATCATCAAATTGTGTAACTTTTAACTTGTTTTAGCTTCTTGTTACTCGTAAAAATCAAATCTTTTTGAACATTTTTTTTCCAAGGAAGATGATCTTGTTGTTCCAAGAATACATTTTGTGGAAATTTATTGTAAATCTTGAAACAAAGTTCAGTGTTGCAAAAAGCTTTTATTTTTGGATTTTCCAGATTTTCAACAGATATAGCTGTGGTACTTAAAAGTGGAAAATATTGTCTTGAAAATCTTGTGTTTGCTCTTGTTTTTTTTTTTTGGGAGAAAATTCTGTTTTGGGATATTGTTACTTCATCATGGCAGGAACATCACTGCCTCCGGGATTTCGATTTCATCCTACTGATGAGGAATTAGTTGGATATTACCTGAAAAGGAAAACTGATGGACTTGAAATTGAATTGGAAGTTATTCCAGTAATTGACTTGTACAAATTTGATCCATGGGAACTTCCAGGTTTGTCTGATTTTAACTTGATACGGTCACGTAGTTTGTTTAAGAATGTAATTATCTTCTGATGTGAAACGTGTCAGGTGGAAAGTTAGAATTGTGAAGAAAATGTGAAACATACATTTGTTGTAATCTGTTATTTTCATTGGCACTTTGTACTAAAAATGTGTTGCTTTATTATCTTTTTCACAAGATGGATTGTTCTGTGGGGGCATATCTCTTTTCACATTTGAGAAAGTCAAATTATTAACAAGAAAAGCATGTGTAAAGTAACAGAAGTTTCTAGTTCTTTGGAATTAGGAGTTTGGGGGTTCTGATATTCTGTTTTTGAATGCAGAGAAATCTTTCTTGCCTAAACGTGACTTCGAGTGGTTTTTCTTCTGTGCTCGGGACAAGAAGTATCCGAATGGGTCAAGAACTAATCGAGCTACTAAATCTGGATACTGGAAAGCCACAGGGAAAGACAGGAAAGTTGTGTGTCATCCAGCAGTTGTTGGCTATCGCAAAACATTGGTTTTCTATCGTGGAAGAGCTCCGCTTGGGGATAGAACGGATTGGGTAATGCACGAGTATCGTCTTTGTGATGATGTTACTCAGGGTACTCCAAGTTTTCAGGTAAACAGAATCTATCTTAGGCTCTTCTGATTTACTAGTAAACAAGAAAATGATCATATTTCACTTGTCTCTAGGGGCCTTTTGCACTTTGTCGTGTCATAAAGAGAAACGACGTTTCATTGAAGACGAAAGATGTTGGAGGAGTTAAGCAAATTGGATGTACAACAAGTGGAGCATTTACCTCAGTAAATGCTCTTTCTGATGAAACGCCAACTCAAAGTGCATACATGAGCAACGATAGCAATTACTCGACTCCTATTACTTCTCCTTATCAGACAACACAATTTGGGGATTATGAGTCTGCAATAGGGGCTAATTCTGCAAACCTCTGGATGTCCTCTGCTATGATTCTTGATTCATCTAAGGTATCTACATTATGTAGTTCATTCAATCCTGTTTCTGTCCTGTTGTTACGATGAGACTAACACTATTTTGTGGATGAATATAGGAATGTCCTCAGGGACAGAATGCATCTAATTACTGTCCACAGTATGACTTCCCGAGCATGACCCCGTGCCAGCCTAGTGATCAATCTGAGTTCACATCAAATTCAACTTTCCCGAATTTTAGAGGGGAAGTTGAACTTTCTGGTGACTTAAGTAGCTTTGGCTGCATGTCCCCTTACTCGATTCATGGAAGCTACGTGGGGTTTTATGGCAACGAAGACATGACATATGAAGGTTTCAATCAGAACAACTCAACCAAGAATCCAAATCTCTTCTGAAGACGAAATGATCATAGGAAGACAATATGTTATGGTTTGAAATAACTTAAAGGTTGTTCTCTGAGACAATGGTTTTTATGTTTTGTCATAAGAGTCATTCGATTTTACAACGTCTCTGAGTCTAGTTCGCGAAGTCAATTCTAAGCATAACATTGTTACTGAAGAATGAAGTATGTAGTGATTGATCACATTTAAAAATCACACTATAGAACATGGTCTATGTTATAACCTAATGTAGCTAAAAAAAAAATGTCTGTAGAAGTATAAATTACCAGAATATTTCTAGTAAAAGTAATGTTTGAGTTGCTTTAATTTACAAAGTTGAAATGCATTGTTTGTACCTTGAATTACTTGTCACATCTCTAATGATTGTTTTACACTAAAGTCTCTTGTAAAGCAACTATTGAGTGGTTGAATGTCAACATATTTAGCCAATGTTTTCAACGAAATAACTACTTTATTAAGTATCAGTGTACCACCAACTACGCGATAACTAACTGTACTATCAAAACTTATAGTCTAGTGGTACCAGTAAAATGATGAATAAGAGAACACTATAAGTAACTATCAAGCAAAGGATATAAGAAAGTAAGCTAGAAACGTTGTGAAAACTTTACTTGGCTCAACTTTTGAGCTTTAGATTATGGGCTTTAATTTTTAATCTCTCCAATTATAATGTGTTCATTATGCCAAATATCTCATCATTTGATCAATTATTCATTATCAAACTTTAATTTAATTAGCTAGCGTTTGATCATAGATTTAGTTGAAACCACAATAAAATGTTTTTGAAGTTTGTTGAAAAATAGTCTTTGAAATTTGAAGTTGTGTTTGGACACACATTTTATCTGAAAATAAATTGAAATTCTATGAATGAAACTGAAATTTCATTGAAAGAAGTTTCTCTCTTGACAATGACGAAATAAGGAATTTATTCAAGAATATTCTACATTTAATATATATACACTAAAACTCACTATATACGATCAATTTTTCTTGCCATAGATACATATAATAAAATACTGGGTGGAATAATTAAGAAAACTTTGTGCACTAAATTGCTCAACCAAAACCTTCAAATTCAACTCCCATTACAAAAAGTGAAGAATTAAAAACTGTTGCTTTTAAATCTTCTTGAACACAAAATTCAAAAGTAACCTTTTATTTCTTTGGTGATACAAAGTAAAATATTTATTTTCATAAACTCATAAATATTTGAAGGCTTTCAATGTATGATCCTTACATTTAAAAATAGCTAGTAACACATTTAACTCAAAACAGAAAATCATATTCCTATATGAATTATTTAAGAGAGAAGTATTGAGAATATTTTTAAACTTGGCCTGAATCATTAGTTTCATTTTCTTACTATTGATAGTTTTAAAAACACATCTTATCTTGACTAACTGAACTTAAATACATCCCCGATCTTGCAACATGAATGAAATACACTCATAATTTAGGAGTGTTTTCAACACTTCTCTTGACTTTTTATTAAAAGTCTCATTCTCTTATAAGAGTTTGAGATCACTTGTTATGTCAGTAGAGAGGTGTTTTTAAGGCTGTCAATAGTTCGGAGATGAAACTAATAATTTGTGTCAAGTTCAAAAATGTTTTCAATACTTCTCTCACTACTTAACTACAAATCATACAATACTAAATTTTAAACAATTGTGATTTCCTACAACTTTAAATTATTTTTCCGACCGATACAAAACAATTTTTTTTAAGTAAAGTGTAACAAAAAGCTCAAAATCCATTTACCGAAAAAGAAGAAATTAAAGAAATGGACTATATTCTTGCAAATATTCTTCTTTCCCACCCCCTAATGGTTCAAATATAACCCAATTAGCATAGGGACTACAAAATGTGAGTATTTTTTTTTAATAGGGAATAAATAATTTTGCAACAAATCATTTTATTTGATTTTCACTTTTTGGACTGTGCTTTTAAACCTTAAAAAGGTTCTTTTGTCCTACTAGTATTATTGTTTTTTTACTACGGAATCGAAGATGTGTGCAGAAGAAGTAAATTGATAAAAAAAAAAAAAACTTTTTCGAAGTCAAAAGGAAAATTAGGTTGAGAAGTAATAATTTATAACCATTTTATAATTTATAGTATTATAATATAGACCAATTAAATGAAACGAGAAATAATAATAAAGAAATGATCGAAAATTCATTGAGAAGTTTACTTGTAAGGAAGGTATCTATTTATTTTTTATTGGGCAAATTACAGAAATCACATACTTTTAAGGCAAATTATAATTTGTCCCTTAAAAGTTTATAATTACAGAAATCCCTCATTTTCGCGCATCAGATTAGTGTATCAGTGCTTATATTATTGTATTTCGTGCATCAGATTAATGTATCAACGTTTATATTATTGTATCTCGCGCATGTATCAACACTTTATATAGTCCTGATACATTAATCTGATGAGCGAGATACAATAATATAAGCGTTGATACATTAATTTGATGCGCGAGATACAATAATATAAGTGTTGATACACTAATCTGATGCGCGAAAATGAGGGATTTTGGAGATTTGTAAAACGTATAGGGGATAATGATAATAAGTAAACTAAACTATGGGATTTCTGTAATTTTTCCTTTTTTATTTGAATTGATTGATCAGTAGAGCTGTCAAAAAGGGCCGATCCAGCCCAAGTCTCGCGGGCCAAGGAATTTGAAGGGCTAGGGCGGGCTGGCCCTTCATTTGGTAAGGCCTGAAAATGCTCAACCCAATCCAACCCTAGAAGGGCCGAGAGCTAGGGTGGACTAGCCCTTCTTTTTTCTTTTCAAACTTGTAATTCTATAACATCAAGAAAATGAGAAGATTTTCAAATCAAATATGGCAAACAATGGTGTTGTTTCAATAACACTAGCAAAAATTTAGTGTAATTAGCATGTATGTCGCATACCAGATATGCGAGTGAAATAACAGAGTGATAAGCAAGATGGGAGGGAGGCGAGGGCGCGAGATTTGTATATGTATCCTAGATACATGCGACTCTATTTTGATAGAGTGTATTTAGAATAAATTAACCTAATTTTGAGTCCATATATTCCGAGACACATGTATCTGGATACGAAAATTCATAATATTACAACACAGCGTGTATTCAAATTATTAGATTATATACTAGTGAAATTATTGTAAATTACTCTTGAATAAAAAGTTTTGGCCCATGGGCCAACCCCGGCCCAGCCCCGATCAAGCCTCAAGGGCCAATGACTTATATGGACCGAGCTTATAAGCCCTAGTTTTAAATGGGCTTGAAAAATTCTATCCCAACCCTACCCAATAACGGGTAGCTAGGGTTGGGCCGCCCCATGGGCTAAGCCCATTTTAGTAACATATAAAAAAGTTAAATAGTTACTCCCTCCATTTCAAAAAGAATGGCCTCTTTCTATTTTTGGTAACATTTTAATTTCAACTTTCCACGTGACATGTTTAAGGCCACAAGATTAAAGGACAATTTTGTACATTTGACATAACTTTAATTTAAGACCACAAAATTCAAAAGTCTTCTTTATTTTCTTAAACTCTGTGTCAAGTCAAACTAGATCATTCTTTGTGAAACGGAGGAAGTACTAAAGAAAACTATTTATACAATTAAGTAATTATGAAATTGAAAAAAGTAAGATTACATTAATCAACAGTCTACTTTATATATTCTAATAATTGATTTTCAAATGACTTTATTAGTAGTACGCAGTATCGTCAATATTTCAATCTTTGTGTTTCATATGATTATAAGTAGGCGTTTGGCTATGCGATACCACGATATAAAATCGTGAGATAGAATTAGCGTTTAGACATGTGATTTTACACTAATTTCATCTCATGTTTCCATATCATGAGATGTGATTCCATATTCTCTAAAAACCATGATATGAGAATTTCATATCATGATTTGAGATATTTTTAATACAAAAATTGATCCACAAGTTTATATTTTATTAAAACAACCCACATTTATATCTACTAACCATTTATTTCATATGTAAATAAAATTTATAATCACATCATTACTTTTTAAAATTTATTATTCTCATCGACATAAAATTTATTATTCTCATCAACATATAGTCACTTTAACTCACACCAACCGATTGTTGAGTAATAATTTTGTTCTCTTCATTTGCTCCAACACCTAATTTATTACTTCTACCATTTCGTATTTATTACAACTTATAGTTATATCCATTTGAACAACAGAGCAGATCAAATTGATGCAGTGAAAATTGTCATAGCTTGTGCAGTGTTACATAATTATTTGCGAGAATACCAAAAGATTGATGAAATATTTATGGTCTATGAGCATGAAAATATAGTTGCGGATGATATTGACCAACAAATGGCTCAAAGTAACAATGTTGGTTCGTCTTCTCGGTCACATGATTGAGAAATGCAAGTTTAACGTGAGAAAATTGGATTATATTAAAGATTAGTACACTACAATTTATGTTCAATTTTTTTTATTGAATTAAAGTTTGATGAATTAAAATTAGATGTAGCAGTTACTTAAGTGGAGAACAAATAGCTTTGGAATAATTTATTATGCGATTTTATAAATTTTTGTTTATTTGGTAAGATTGAATAAACAATTGGGGCTATTTTAATAGTTTTACAACTTATGAGATTCTTATGTTTATAAGAAAATATACAATACAAAAATTTCATATCGCATGTCCAAACAAAACTTCAATTTCATCTCATAATTCCATATTATGATATCATATTATGATATCATATCATGATACCATATCGCATGGCCAAACGGAATATAACCGCTTAGCAAATTTCAAAGCACCAATTGAAAGATACAAAGGTGGTTCAAAATCGAATTGAAATTGAAAATTTGAATACAAAAAGTTACCGGTTAATCGACAATGAGGTGTTGGTTTAACAAGTTTGATAACAATTTTGATTTTTTTTATTATTAGGTTATCGGTTCATAAAGATTTGAGGTTTTTCTTAATGGGTTAACCGATAACCCGATAGTAAATTAATTAATTATATTTATACCATTCGATATATAAAGTCTTTGACTTGAGGTTTAGTTTCATACTTCTATTTTTGGTTGTCTCAAAACTCTCAGTTACTCTATCATGTGTTAGTGTTTGCTTTTGAGCAAAATATAATATGTCAACTCATGCGCATGGTTCATTTGGTTTGTCACATTGTTTCTAAGTGATTTTCAATGTTTTTTTTGTTTCAAATCT